AAAGTCTACTGTTAAATTTAATTTATGTCAGCATTTATTTCTTTTTTCTTCAAATTGCTTACATCCGCTCCTGGGACCATTTTCATTTTAAAAAGTACACAATGGGCCTACTACAATGAATAGGAATGAGAACAAACAAAAAAGAGCTGAATATGTTATGAACATCATTGAACACTTCATAAATGGTCATCAGATAGTTTGGTTGGATGAAACATATTTTAAACTTTTTTGTAGAAAAATGGAAGGGCGTGCCAAACAGGAAAAAAGAGTAATAATGAAAATAACTTCTTCAAAATGTGCAAACATACATTTGATTGCTAAAACATACAGCTACAACAACAACAAATGTTGTCATGATGGAAACTTGCAGAGGATCATTTAAAGCAGATTCTTGTAACGAGTGGATATTGTTTAACCAGTGAGTTACATCCAGAAATCGCTTAGAGGATTTGGTCGTCATAACAGACAATGCTCCATGTCTCGCGCATTTGGAAAGGATATTTGAAAATTTACCGGCTCAGTTGATATGATTAGAACCCTACAGTCCAATGTTAAACCCAGTGCAAACTATCTGGTCGAAAATAAAAATTAACGTTAAAAATGGGATTTGCATTCCACCTGTATTAAGTGCTGGGATTATAGAACAACGATTGCAGTATTTAGAAAGAGTTTTTACTGTAGCAAAAAATACAATAATGGGAGGTGATTGTAAACGCATTATGCAACAATTTAAATATGGAAGACATCCAAGTTGGTGCTTAACTATTGAGTATTGCAATGAATTTTAATTTTAAATTTTTATGTGAATAAATTATTTGTGTTTTATTTATTCTTCATCTGAAATCTCAATTAAATTTTTCACAAATAAAAATAAAAGAAAGTTTTAGTTGACACCCAATAGGATTTTTCCAGTTACCACCTAAACCTCAAATACCTTTTTCATGACTTTTTATATTTTTATTGATATTATATTATTATTTACAAAGTAGAACTACAAAATTCAAAATACAAAGAACTTTGTATTCGTTATACTTTCCTTAATTACAGCTATCATGTTCTCAATTATATTTTACGATTTCTTATTTACAATTTTCATTTTTTCAATTACATCTGATGTTTCTTAATTACAACGTTTAACTTCTCAATTATGCGGTCATGGCGCAGTGGTTAGAAGGTTTTTTTTTGCTTTATAAGCAGGAGATCCAGGTTTGAAAGGAGCTCTGGAGATATTTTCGCGTTATGGTAAGGAAAGAGGTTTGAACTTCTTAGTTAAATGCACTTCTGCGGTGCTCTGTGACAAGACTGTTAAGTCTTTGTAGGGCACCTAAATAACAACAAAAAAAAAAAATTACATGTAATGTTTCTTAATTACAACTTTTGCCTTCTTAATTTGCTTTTCTTAATTTCAACTTTACTTATTTACTACTTTCAAGTTCTTAAAAAAAATAATTTGTTGTGCCCTAATATATATATATATATATATATATATATATATATATATATATATATATATATATATATATATATATATATATATATATATATATATATATATATATATATATATATATATATACATAGTGCTTGAAATGAGGCAGGATGCCATCACGTCACCTTTTTATAAAGTATAAAGCATCCCCCCACCTAATCTCTATATATAACAATGATTAGGCGGGATAGTATTTTTAATTTACCGAATACCATCCCGTTACTTTCTTTTTTCCACTTTGAGTACTGTATATATATGTATAAATACAGGGATGTACACCGGTGGTCACCTGACAGTATTAGGCAACCGAATTTCGTGCAGGGCGACTAAATGTTTTACTTTGATACAATAGTAGCCCGCCGGGCAACTATTGATTTTTTTAAGAATTACTTTTTATATTATTATCTTATATTTATTTAATTAAGTTATTTAAGTTATTTATTTAATTAGTTGATTAAGTAATTTATGAAATAAATAATTATATAAAAGACTTTTTTTAAATGGTCGTTTTATTTCGTAAAGCAATTTTTAATTTTATAAATAAAGTTACGTTTTTTTAAGTTTTCGTTGGCATTCATAAAATGCAGCTAAAACGATTGACATCATAACTTTTTTTTTTGCTTTCTAATAATATAAAAGTTCATTTATTTTTTCTTCTTCTTTGTGAATATTAAAATTCTTCTTTGTGAATATTAAAATTTTAATATTCTTCGAATAATAAAATTTTAACATCAAGTTATAAGTGAGAGAGCAACAATATTTTTAAAAGATTTTAGTAATTATAGAATAAAGGAGTTTGATACTTTCTTTAAGTTAAGGAACTCGATTTTTAATGACAAAATTTTAATGACTATTTACAACAACATATTTTATTCAAATTATTAAATTACTTGTTTTTTGTTGATTAATTTTTAAAGTTTGCGCGATTACGTGTCGTAAGTTACGTGTCGAAGTAAAATAAAAGTTTTTTCAATTTAAAAATAGTTTTTCCATATTTAAGACTTGTATATTTTATAAAAAAAACCTTAAACTAGGAATTAAACCAGATTCATAAAATTTTTTGTAAGATATATTAGATATTTTTGTAAGCTTTTTTTTTATTATTATTTTCTTTCAAGTTTATTTTATTTTTTAGCACTTTTAGCGCGCTTAGCGAAACATTAAAATATTGCCGGGCGACCAACATAAAAAAAAGTTACTTTCGGTCGCCCTTCTGGCGATTGACTAAAAGACTGAGTGTACACTTCTGATATATGTATATATATATCAGTGGTGTATATATATATCAGGGGTGTATATATATATATATTTATGTATATATATATATATTGTATATATAAATATTATATATATATCAGGCCTTGCGATGAATAAGAGCTGCGCGACGCATAAGCACGACGTGATTTTTGACGTCATTAAATTCTTTTTATTTGCTTTTCATATTTATCGACATTAACTGCACCAAATTATTTAATTACCGCAAAACTACTTTAAATCGTTTATGTAGAAATGTTATTATTTAAAAATGTTTTGGAATGTTTCGTTTTTTAAAATGTAAAAACATTTGTTTATTTTCTCGAGTTTGTCACGTTTTGTCTATACTAAACGAATAAAAAACATTATAACTTAAATTTAAAAAAGATTATAAAATATGCTAATATTTGATTTTTTTTTTCTTAAATATGTAATTTAAAGTTTTTCAAATAATTATTTTTTCTTTTTAAAAAGTCAGCGAGTAATAAACTGGAAATTTTAATATTGTACGATTAAAAACTGTGCAATAGCTAATATTTTTACAAGCGATTTTATATAATATTTATTTATTTATTTTTATTTATTTTCATAAAGCGGTTGATAAGCACAATCACTCGTATTAATAAAAAACTTAAACGAACGTTTTGAATAGATTTTTAATGTTAACAAGGAATTTTATTTCTAGTAAAATAAAATAAAATGTTAGAATAAAAATCTTATAGGTATAAAAGAAATATTTTAGCGAAAAAATTATTCTTAAAAATTATTCGAAAAACTATTGACGTTCTATTTTTCAGCAGCTGTTCTTGAGCACGCTTCGATGAGTTTCGGTAACTTTTAACATAAAAACGATCGTTATTATTTAAGTAATTTTTTTGAGTTCTTTTTACAAAAATTTTAATAACTGTACTTTTTCATTGAATCAAGTAGAATACGTTTTAATATTAATCTTTTTTTTTTTTTATTTGCCCTCACCAATTTTTAAAATGTTTCCTCGAAATCACTCTTAAATACTTTAAATACGTCTAACAGTTAATAAATATTTTTAAATCTATGGAATAATTTTAAAACCTATCAAACCCCTGTAAAATAATTATTTAAGTTTAAAATCTAAAACTAAAAGAAAGTATTTTTGTTCAATTTTATCGACAACGTTGCTATTGCTGAATAATTTATTAAAATTTATTAAAATGTTAGCTTAAAAGATTTAAACTTTTTTTTTTAATTTTTGAATTTTTTCTACTTGAAAATAATGAGCATATTTAATTTTTTTAAATTCAAACTTTTATTTCAACTGCATGCGGTTTTTAAAATACTTGATTAAATGTTAAAATAATCGTCAATTACTTCATTAAAATTCCGCTCAAAAATATCTTTAAATATACTCAAACAAAAAATTTTTTGCTCAACGCAAATAGCCCTAGCTACACGCAAAATCGCCCTTGGACGACGTAAAATTCACATCGCCCGACGCTTTATCGCAAGGCCTGATATATATATATATATATATATATATATATATATATATACACACACATATATATATATATATATATGTGTGTGTGTATATATATATATATATATATATATATATATATATATATATATATATATATATATATATATATATATATATATATATATATATATATATATATATATATATATATATATATATATATATATATATATATATATATATACAAACATATAAGTGTCCACTCAATCTTTAAGTCAATCGCCCTTCTGGCGATTGACTAAAAGACTGAGTGTACACTTCTGATATATGTATATATATATATATATATATATATATATATATATATATATATATATATATATATATATATATATATATATATATATATATATATATGTCAGGGGTGTATATATATATATATATATATATATATATATATATATATATATATATATATATATATATATATATATATATATATATATATATATATATATATATACATATGTAAATTCATCTTTATTTGATGAATTTGATGAATTCATATGGGCAACAGCTGGGATTTATCTGAATGATTTAGTAATTGCAGCTGAAAAAATGATAACAATACTTTTTCTTAAATTTATCAAGAAGGAGTGTTTGAAGCTCTAGTCCAGCTCGTATGTTTAGGAGCTTAGGATTTAGGAGTTTAGGAACTAAAATAAACCATTATTAAACCGCTTATCAATATAGTAATAATATTTATATATATTTTATTTTTAAGTTTATTCACAACAGGTGATGAGAAGGGAGTGATGGTAATATGGAATGTTGAAGAAAATTGTCTGAATGTTTGGACTCCCATCTCCAACATGATTTCGTGTTTAGATATGTCGCCAAATCTTCATAATATTGCAGCTATTGGGTAAAATATTTTTTAAAATATTTTTTTGATAAAATTGATACAAAAATTTTCAAATCTTGTAGCAGCAAGGGTTAGGATAAGGATTAGGATTACCCTGAGTTGTCAAAATGAGTTTAATTGATTAATGAAATGATTTATTTTTATGATTTAGATACGGTAATGGCAATGTATGTGTTTGCGATATAAAAAAACTACAGGTCATGCAAGTTTTTAAAAGTCATATAGATGAAGTTTGCACTTTATCATGGTGCCCAAAATATTTTAGGGGTAAGTTTCTAAAGGACAATATTTTTTATTTACTGTATTAGTTATTTATAATGATTGCTATAGGTATAAATATTATATTTACTTATATAAATAACCTAATTACTATTAAATTTTATAGTTACTAGCGCATATATAAATATATATTTTTTTAACATCTTTGCTTCCAGCAAGGCTGCAAGCAACCACTAATTAGTGTTGGAAGTTACTGAAAGAGAAAAAAAGAAGATTGTAGAGCAAGATAACCATTGACAGACGACTTGAAAGATTGCAAATTATATGAATCAGGAAAGCAAGATGAAGTTAGCGAATTTCAAAGAACTGATGTTCGAGGTAAAAAAATAAGAGTTTTTGGAGTAATAAGAGTTTTTGGAGCACTTTGGAACAGTCACAGAAAAAGGATGAGACTTAATTGAATGGCAAGTAACACAAGATGGCACTAGAGACGCTGTGCATCTACTAAAATTCAAAGCAGTGCCCATTATAGCAATTATAGAAAAGAGAAAGAAAAGCAGCATTACTACTATGTGATAATGGTTGAAGTTTGGCTACAAGAGCAGGTCCAACTATGTTTACAATGCATTTTTGCACCTTGTCTAAAAGAGAATATAAGATCCGCCCCATATATGGCAACAGAGTTCCATACAAGGACAGGTTTGAGATTTATAGTCGAGCACAATAAAGAGATGCAATCTTAGCAGATGCTAATTTTGCACCGGATTTCATATATGGTTTCAAAGAAAGATTAGAATTAGAGTTAATCCTAGAGGATGAAGGGTAGGTGACTCATCAAGTATATTACCGTTCATAAATATAAGGTCTAAATTATTACGATAACGATTGCCTTAAAAAAATTGAGTTTTATCTGAATTAAAGTTCACCAGCCACTGTGAGCCTCATGCTGTAGCAGAAGTGAGATCCTTTTCAAGGTCAAATGCCTCCTCCAAGCAATCAGAGAGTGTTGGCTTCTTATCATGACCAAATAAATGGTAATATCATCAGCGAGCAATGCCACTTTAGATGTGAGAATATCTGGAAGATCATTAATGTAATTTAAAAAGAGTTATGATTGAACATTGAGGAACCCCTGAGGTTACAGAATAAGAAGAAAAGTGCTGTCTTTCGAGGACAGCTTTTATACTACAATTGGAAAGGAAAGGTTAAATAATCTTGTAGGCGTTGCTAGATACACCGGAAAAGACCAGCATGCCAAACTTTATCAATAGCTTTAGAAATGTCAAAAGCGATGGCCTTAACCTCTTCACTTCTGTCTAATGCACGATAAAACCACCTATACCTACATTACATATCAACTGCCACCATAAAACTTAATACATGCCACTGTTGCTTTTTAGATTAAAAAAACAACAACATGTGTTTTATTGTTGGCATTATTCTATTATGTCAATTATGGGAAATTAGAGTGTAAAATTTACATTATATCTGTTATATCATATCTTATTATCTGTTACTTTATTATCTTTATTATGTTTATTCAAGCTTTCATTTTTTTTTTTTATTCACTTCTTTACACAAAAATATTTTAAAAAAGTTAAATTTTGTTTTAGAGAAGCATTGTTTTGTTTCTGGAAGTAAAGATTTTACCATGAAAGTGTGGGATATTAATACTGAAAAGTTTTTGTTTTCTTACACGGTACCAAAAAATTTACCAAGTAAAAAAAAAGAAGAGTCACAAAAAATGAAAGTTACAAAGTATCTATCTGTTTTATGGCTGAATGATAATCAAATTTTATCTTCACATTCAAGGTTTTTTTGTATATCTTATTTAATTTATCTTTACCAATAAATTATTTTTATTTTTGTGTTATTTGATAACATGGTGTATATTTGTATATACAGTAGCTTTCATAAATTTAGACGCATTCATTTTTTTTTTCATATATGTAATAAAATACTCAAAATAAAAATGAAATAAAAGTGCTACAGCTATGTTTGATATATAGTTTAAAAGAGGAAATAAAACTCTATTATAGAGTACCTTAATTTTTTTTACAGGATGTTTATTACTCATTTTATACCGATTAACACAAAAAAGTTAATTGATAAACTTGATTTTATTTTGTTCATAAATTTAGACGCACAATTAAAAAAGTCTTATATCTTGTTAATTGATAGTTAATTAGTAGTTTTTTTCTTATATTTCTCATTAATAGGCCTAAATTAATTGATTTTGTCAAAAAACCTTATATAAATATGACTTACCTGGAATTATTTAATCATTATTTAATAAATAAACAAAAGTTAAGTTAGTTTTGCACTAAAAAACGTAAAAAATGGGCAAAAGACGTATTACTCAAGGTGAAAGATGGCAAATTATTGCGCACATCAAAGAAGGAACCAAAAGTAATAGAGAAATCGCCAAGTTAATTGGAGTTTCTGAGAAATGCGTTCGGACAACGAAACAAAACTTTCTTCACACTGGTGGTGCCAGCGAGAAAACGAGGCCAGGTAGACCCTTGTCAACCACGAGAAAGGACGATAGTGTTCTTTTAAGAGCTGTCAGAGCTAATCCAAGAATTAGTTACAAAGAATTGACCACAGAATTCAATACAACGGGAAATACATCTATTTCTCAAAGCACAGTCCGCCGAATACTTATCAAATACAAGATTGGAGTCTACACTGCTTTGAAGAAACCGCTTCTGCGTCCATATGATAAACAAAGGAGACTAAAATGGTGTCGTCAAAGAAGGTATTGGACAATAGATCAATGGGAAAACATTATGTGGAGTGATGAGAGTAACTTTGAGCTTATCAATCGCAAATCTAACATAACAGTCAAAAGAACGGCTCACGAAAAGTATTACGCCAGGTACATTAGACCAACTGTACAAAGTGGAGGAGGCTCGATAGGAATCTGGTCATGCTTCAATTACAAAGGTGTTGGTATGTGCCAAACATACACCGGAAGAATCAACTACAGAATATACGTAGAAGTACTGGAAAACAACCTAATTCCATCAATTGACCTGCTTATGCTCAATGATAAACCATGGAAACTTCAACAAGATAGCGCTACTGCACATACTGCATACTATACAAAGGAGTGGTTCAACGATAATAATATTATGACAATACCGTGGCCTCCATATTCACCTGATTTGAACCCGATTGAAAACATTTGTGCTTGGATTGATCGTGAATTAGCAAAGGTTCAAATTTCCACACTTGGTCAGCTGAAGGAATTCCTTAAGGAGACCTGGTATGGGGTCCCAGAAGCGATGTGCAAAAATTTTGTTGAGTCTATGCCTAGAAGAGTTCTTAGTTGTATTAAAGCAAAAGGCGGATACACAAAATATTGATTGGTTCATAAATTACGCCTTCTAATGTATCGTGCGTCTAAATTTATGAATAATTTTTTTTGTCTAATTTTTTTAATACCATGTAGTTGTACCTAATTATTACTTAGTATTTCATTTTTTTTGCAAACTTTTTTTAAATTTTCTATTCTGTATGTATTTATCTAATAAATAGAAAAAAAACTAAACCGAAATCTTTTTTCGTCATTGTTTTATCGTTAAAATACCTAAATTCTTCTATTCTCAAATATGAGTGCGTCTAAATTTATGAAAACCACTGTATAAATATACATATATGTATTAGGGGTAGTCATTTTGAGGGAATTTTTGAAATCGAAGTACATACCCAGCTAAAGTTGGAGCAAATATGCTAAAACTTTGTCAAAATTTTTTTTAGGTCAATCGGGTGACTTTTAAGTCCCCCTCAAGACTAAAGTTGTTAAGAAATTGTACTTCAAAAAAGGAAAAATAGGGTGTGTTCAGGGTGTTTGAGGGGGATTTAAATGAAAAAATTATTTCCATTTTTTTTTTTTTTTGTTATTTGATATCTATATTTTCATTTTAAAAGGGTAAAGGTAATGTCATCATGTTTTTTACATATTCTTGGTTAAAACGATATTTAAGAAATCAAAAAATGAAAAGTTTAATTTACGCAAGTGGTTATGAAATCAGCAAATTATGTATTTTCATACTTAAAGTTCATTCAGATGGACAGACGTAAAAATTCCCGCTTAAATCAACCAAAAAAAACAAATTATTTTGAACTAAACAAGTAATTTACCATTTAATAAAAATCTTTACAAATACTATCAAGACAAAAATTATGCATTAATTGAAATAAGTATTTTAAAATGAATAACAATTCCTTAAGTCTACAATTTCCTTTTCTTTAATTTAGAGAGTGACATCAGGCTTTCTGATAGTTTTTTTTTTGTAGTATTACTTTTTCCCACACCAAAAACCTTGAAAGTTGACCTTACTTTGTCGACAGTTAAAAGTCTGTTCTGCTTGTCATCCTCATTTTCGAATCTTTGTACAAACTGCTGCATCATTCCGATTGCTCGTTCAGAATGATCATTGACAACAATTAACATTTTGGCAAAGTTTTCAAAATTCCTAAACGAGGACTGGGTGTGCCAATATTGGGGTGGAAGTGACAACCAGTCTCTCACTCTCATTATCCAACCCTATCATTGAAAAAATTAAATATGAAAACTCATTAACCAAAAGAGAGAGGGTTGGTACCTTCATATTATTTATGATATTAATCTCGTCTATTCGATCTTTGCTTCTATGTTTAAAAAAATCTGGATCTGGCATTTGGAAGGAAAGCAAAGCATCTGCAATGGCTGTTTTTTTATCCATAGAAATGTTTTTATCCAAAAGAGCCTAGGGAATAATCGTTGAATCAAGATACCATGTATGCTTATAAAGAGATGCTAACACTGCGTCTACTGCCTCCGGATTGGAGCAAACTTTCTTATACTCTTTCATCTGAAAGATTGCATCAAGATCAGACCCAGGAGATTGAATTGCTTTATGTGCTTGAAGGTACCACCTTGTGTAAAAACATACTATGAACTCGCAGATGAGTTTTAAATCTTCGCGTAGATTATCATTTTCTTGCACAAATGTCAGTTGCTTGCACAAAAGCTGAAGTTTAAGGTAGTATAAACTCTTGCCTAAAAAAACCTAGCATGATGAACAGCTCCAGTTTTCTTTAATTTGAAATGTGCAGGGGATAAATACTGCATGGTTAACTCAGCCAACTCTCTTCGGTCATTCCTCATATTGCATTTTTTAGTAATATAGGTCTCACAGTAATCTAAAGTTTATCTTGCAGCTTCCTTTAAAACTGTTCCTTCCGCGGTTTTCCAATCAAGAGAGGTCAGGTTATTTTCGTCGTATTTGAAGTTAGGGTTCTCAAACATATGTTTAAACTTTACGAATAAAGGATTTTCAGGCCCTACGCTATTTTCTTTTATCACTGCTTCACAAAAATGAACCATTCTAAGCTCAATGATATGATGCCTACATGCTAGTAGAAGAAGGTGTTTGTCAACCTCTCTTGCAATCCTAATAAGTGATCCTTTCTTAGAACCAGTATTACTTGAAGTTGTATCAAAGCATACTCCGCATACTTTTGAAATGAGGTTATATTCTTCTAGTATTTTCATAGTATTACATATCTTCACCTGAAGAAGACGGCAAGGCAGGTACTCCAAGAAGATGTGACACCCCCTCAATATTAACGAGCACAGCTAATCTTTCATTCTTCAGTCTTTTTCCCTGATTCATTTCAAACAAAGTCTTTCTGTCAAAATGAATTATACAGGGATAACGGCTTTTTTCCATGGCCTTCTTTATATCTAATTTAGCAATTTCTGCAGTATCCTTGGCAGTTTTTTTCATCTTCCTTAATGCTGTTGAAGCACTGGCTTTGCATTTTGCAATATCAACTCCACAATCTTGAAGAATTGCTCCAGTTACTTTTTGTAAGACATTGGGGGAGATATCATTTGCTGTAGCTATGATAGATACATTTCCATCAAAAATATTCTTAGGGACTTTGGCAGTAATGTTGCAATCATCTGCTCTTCTATGATGCCAAACTTCGGGTTCAAATTCTGAATCAGAATCAGCGCTAGTGTCAGTCAAACTCAAGTCTAATTCTGAGGTAGCGTCAATCTTAGGAGATTCGTCTTCTAGCCTTGTCCTCTTCCTCACACCTTCAGAAACCTAAAATTTGTTTTAACATAGTGTATGTGTATTAACAAATAATGTATGCTAAATTAGCAAATTTTAATAAAAAACGTCAAATTAACCCAATAAAAACAACACAAAACCTTTTTGTTAAATTTTCTATCTTCTGATCCCAAACTAAAATGTCTCGGTCCTTCCTGGTCTTCCAAAAAAGTAAATCATCGTGCTTATCTTTATCTGAGCATTTTTTTTTATCCTTCCTAATTTGGTTCTTTAAATCTGTAGAACCAATCCAAAACAGCTTTTTCAAAAATGAAATAAACTCCCTTTGATTAACCTTGTCTCTAGCTGTTCCTCTGCATTTATTTCTACTCAAATCTGAATACTTCTTGTCCATCTTCATAAGGTTCTTGATAATACTTTTATCTGACATTACTTGAAATCCCGCTTTAGGCCATGGTCTTTTAATTAAGCTTAAAATGCATTTACAATCATCTACCTCACATCTCTTGTAACCCGGAATCTTGTAAGGAGGGCATAATAAAATTGCTGACTTCTTAACATTATGAGGAAGTAGTGATCTTCTTTAGACAATGTGTTGAAGAACATCCATTCCAGTAGGGAGTTGAAGACCTTAAGAAAAAAAAAATCAATATTTTAATTTTTAACAAAAAATTTAAAATTCAAAACAATTTTTTTAAATTAGATATGTACATGTAATAGCTGGTTTAGCCTCATTTATAATAAAAAGTTTGTTTTTGCTTGATCTGAGAAACTTCCTCTTCCCAATATCTTTTACAATTTTTTTTTCCATTTTTGTATTCAATCTAAATATATTTAATGGTCTGTAATTAATTAAAAACTTCAATACAATTTTACTTTATATTGTAATTCAATTAATAACAATCAAGTAAATACGAAAGTTATTTACAAAAATAAAATAATGTAACGCAATTTCACGTATAATTTCTTTATAAAAACTCTTAGTGACTTACAAATACAGTGCAGGATCTTCAGCACATTTTCTTCTGCATTATTTTATAAGAATTTTTTTATCGTTGTCGATTTTCATAACCTCTTGCGTAACATAAAATTTTTATTTTTTCCTTTCATAAATATCGATTTAACCAAGAATATGTAAAAAGCATGATGACATACCCTTTTAAAATGAAAATATAGATAACAAATAACAAAAAAAAAAAAAAAATTAAAATAATTTTTTCATTTAGATCCCCTTCAAACACTCTGAACACACTATATTTTTCCTTTTTTGAAGTTCAATTTCTTAACAACTTTAGTCTTGAGGGGGACTTAAAAGTCACCCGATTGACCTAAAAAAATTTTTGACAAAGTTTTAGCATATTTGCTCCAACATTAGCTGGGTATGTACTTCGTTTTCAAAAATTCCCTCAAAATGACTACCCCTAATATGTATATTTATATATACAAATATACAAATATATATATATATATATATATATATATATAATATATATATATATATATTTATTTGTATATTTATGTATATCAAAAAGTTATAAAATATATTTTAGTGGAAAGATTTTGTGTTGGGATTTAGAAAGTAGTTCATGGAGAGCTTTGGAAGGTGGACATAATCGATTAGTGTATGCTTTAAAAAATGATGCTACTACAAATCAGTTTGTATCTTTTTCAATTGATAGACAAGTAGGTTATTTATTTCAGTTATTATTCAATTAAATTTTTTTAATGAACTAAGTTTTATTCATATATCTTTTATTTAAATTCAATGGTCTAAAAATTTAGAAATTACAGAATTTTTTACATTCATACATACACACATTCATACATATACAGTAGCTTTCATAAATTTAGACGCATTCATTTTTTTTTTCATATATGTAAGAAAATACTCAAAATAAAAATAAAATAAAAGTGCTACCGCTATGTTTGATATATAATTTAAAAGAGGAAATGAAACTCTTTTATAGAGTACCTTAATTTTTTTTACAGGATGTTTATTACTCATTCTATACCGATTAACACAAAAAAGTTAATTGATAAACTTGATTTTATTTTGTTCATAAATTTAGACGCACAATTAAAAAAGTCTTATATCTTGTTAATTGATAGTTAATTAGTAGTTTTTTTCTTATATTTCTCATTAATAGGCCTAAATTAATTGATTTTGTCAAAAAACCTTATATAAATATGACTTACCTGGAAATAGTTAATCATTATTTAATAAATAAACAAAAGTTAAGTTAGTTTTGCCCTAAAAAAACGTAAAAAATGGGCAAAAGACGTATCACTCAAGGTGAAAGATGGCAAATTATTGCGCACATCAAAGAAGGAACCAAAAGTAATAGAGAAATTGCCAAGTTAATTGGAGTTTCTGAGAAATGCGTTCGGACAACGAAACAAAACTTTCTTCACACTGGTGGTGCCAGCGAGAAAACGAGGCCAGGTAGACCCTTGTCAACCACGAGAAAGGACGATAGTGTTCATTTTAGAGCTGTTAGAGCTAATCCAAGAATTAGTTACAAAGAATTGACCACAGAATTCAATACAACGCGAAATACATCTATTTCTCAAAGCACAGTCCGCCGAATACTTATCAAATACAAGATTGGAGTCTACACTGCTTTGAAGAAACCGCTTCTGCGTCCATATGATAAACAAAGGAGACTAAAATGGTGTCGTCAAAGAAGGTATTGGACAATAGATCAATGGGAAAACATTATGTGGAGTGATGAGAGTAACTTTGAGCTTATCAATCGCAAATCTAACATAACAGTCAAAAGAATGGCTCACGAAAAGTATTACGCCAGGTACATTAGACCAACTGTACAAAGTGGAGGAGGCTCGATAGGAATCTGGTCATGCTTCAATTACAAAGGTGTTGGTATGTGCCAAACATACACCGGAAGAATCAACTCCAGAATATACGTAGAAGTACTGGAAAACAACCTAATTCCATCAATTGACCTGCTTATGCTCAATGATAAACCATGGAAACTTCAACAAGATAGCGCTACTGCACATACTGCATACTATACAAAGGAGTGGTTCAACGATAATAATATTATGACAATACCGTGGCCTCCATATTCACCTGATTTGAACCCGATTGAAAACATTTGGGCTTGGATTGATCATGAATTAGCAAAGGTTCAAATTTCCACACTTGGTCAGCTAAAGGAATTCCTTAAGGAGACCTGGTATGGGGTCCCAGAAGCGATGTGCAAAAATCTTGTTGAGTCTATGCCTAGAAGAGTTCTTAGTTTTATTAAAGCAAAAGGCGGATACACAAAATATTGATTGGTTCATAAATTACGCCTTCTAATGTATCGCGCGTCTAAATTTATGAATAATTTTTTTTGTCTAATTTTTTTAATACCATGTAGTTGTACCTAATTATTACTTAGTATTTCATTTTTTTTGTAAACTTTTTTTAAATTTTCTATTCTGTATGTATTTATCTGATAAATAGAAAAAAAACTAAACCGAAATCTTTTTTCGTCATTGTTTTAACGTTAAAAAACTAAAAATTTCTATTCTCAAATATGAGTGCGTCTAAATTTATGAAAACCACTGTATATGCACACATATTTTGGTAGTTTAATTTGTAGTTGCTTTGATTAACTAGTGTACATGTTATGTTTCCCATCTTTTATAAGACGCAATGTTCTTTGGGTAAAACTATTTCTGTAAGCCGTATTTGCAGTAGCAAATACGGCTTACAAAATATTAACTTCTTGAACCCAAAGTTGATATTTTGCCTTGTTGTTATTTTAGATTTATTTTTAGTTTTTATGTTTAGCGGATGATTTGGGTTTCGTAGAATATGCTTAGGATTAAAATTATTAGGATTTAATTTAGGAATAAGTTATTAAAAGCTTTATTTAATAGTTATTTCTAAATATATTGGTTACTCCAATTGTGTGCTTGAAACAACAAGTTGTTAAAAAGTCTTTAAAAAATGTTGAGTGTCAGTTTTGTGTGAAGCGGTGGCATGAAAAGATTAGAAAAGTTACCACAAGAAAAAATAAATTTAACATATTTTAAAAAACCTTGTAACTTCTTTTTAATATTCATCTACTATTTTTTATTTTTTAATTCATTATTTGAAAATTATTAGACTAACATATTATATCTTACATTATAAATTATATTATGTGTATATATACTACATAATATCGAGTGGACACGAAAAAATCCGGTTAACTTTAAATTGAGATTTCTTTAAAACCATCAATACTTTTATTTCAATTGTTTAATTATTAAATGTGTTTACATCAATTAGAGTTTCAACTTAATTTCAAGGGGCTTAATAGACTGTTTGGCAAGAGATCAAATTTTATAGCGAATTGAAGCCGTTATTTTGTAGATTTTTTCTTTTTTCACCTTATTAGTGGCATTAATCCACTTTTTTTTGAAGTTAATTTTTTTTTTTGTTTCTCCACGTGTCTTATGAAGAACTTCTTTAGCTATTTTTCAAAAATCTTCAATCTTGCGTTCTTCAAGGCAATTTAGATGATTCGCATCTTTAGGAACAATTTTCACATTATCTTTGTACCATTGTAGAACTTTTTTTAGAATAATGAGAAGCAGCAAGATACAAAAGAGACATTGGTATTTGTGTTTTTTCATAAATGGAAAAATTCTTTTTGGAGGCATTCTTGAATGTAGAGATTGGCATTCAAGGTCTTCTTAGTGACAAAACAAGAAGAGTACATACCACATCTACAAATTGCTTGCCACACAAGGAACTTGAATTTTTTTTGTCGAATTTATTTAAATTGATCATTGACAGGTTTATCTTTGTTCTCATAGTATAATTGTTGACCAGGAAGTTGTAAAAAGTCCACCTTCAATATATTTTGTTGTCTTTAACATACACATACTTTTATTTGCCATTGTTTTAACCAACTTATTTGCGTGCGGAATTCCTTTAATTTCACCATTTAAGCTACTCTTAGGTATATTTTTCTTATGAAATACTTTAAATCCTGCATTTTTAAGCACTTTTTTGAAATAAGAATGTGAAATCTTCAGGGATTATCTTTTTCCGGATATTTTTTTTAACTTTTAGTTTTTCTGTATATCCAAAACATTTTCAATACATGCAAGTTGAGGTTTATATTTTTGTGATATATTTATTTTTAAGATTTTTTACTCATCACTCACGGCTGTTTCACTCAATATAAAAGCGAGCCTGACGTCACAAGAATTTTTGTGTTTTAAAAAAAATATACTTCCGCATAAAAAGTATAAAAATTCACTAACTTTAAAATAATATAATTTTTTTTCTATTTCTTTCATCTTCAAATTAAAAAAGTATAAAAGAACTTTCTTTTATACTTTTTTAATCTTTCTTCGTTTAATAAATATTTACAAAATAAAAGTAAACATTGTTAAAATATTTTAAATAATTTTGTTTTTGGCGATTTTTACGAAAAACCTGTTTTAGGCTAACCAAGATTTGTTAACATAGCTACAAGGTTGATGGTTGAAATTTGGAACATTTACCCATGAATGTCTATTCTATCTGATTTTCGGTGATTGTAAATAATTTTTTAGCTAAAATTAGTTTTTAATGCATTTATATTTTTGTTTTTATAACTTTTATATGTAAAATATAATTTTTTTGTAACGATCAGCAAATTAACAAATTTTCAATCCTTTATGCACACGAAAATCCAAAAATTGTTATTTATACCTCTAGCTATGTTACCAAATGTCTTCAAACTTGGCTGGTTTACAGCATTTTGTCTATTTTTATGCATATATTTTTGTTTACATTTTAAAACAATCACGTGACCTTTAATATTTTACGAGTAAAAAAGTAGCGATTTGCTTTATTGACATAAATATTGCCTGTTTCAGTCAAGAATCAAGTTTAAATAAATTTCTTTTCAAGTTAAAGTGGTCTTACAATGTGTATATTAAACAATAGTTATCTAAAATATACTTTTTAAATTTTTTTTTGATAAAAAGTGACAACAAATTACTAAAATTTAGCCAAGCTCATCATTTGGCGCGTTTTATCTAAAAATGAAGAAAGTTTTCGATCATTCATTTAATGTCATCTGGTAAAACATTTTATTGGTGTTTATATTCTTTTTACAGAATAAAATTATCTCTAATATTTTAAAAATTTAAAAATTTTTAGTAACACCTATTAAGTGGTTATTTTTTAAAAAAAACAAGAAGCCGTAAAGCTCACTTTGAAACAGCCGTGCACTCAGAAAAATTATGAAAAGTTTCGAAAAAAATTAAAAACAACTTAGCTAAATACCAAATTAAAAAGAAAATAAGGGAAAACAAATTCTGGATTTTTTCCGGATATTTTATTCAAACAATTTTCAAAATATGATGATTTATGAATCTTGAATTTTCTTGCTAGATCTTGCTCTGAATGGTTCGTATTTCTTGCTATTGAATGTAAAATCAACTTTACCTTTTTGGATTTAGGTAAAGTTTTCTTTCTTCCACTTCCAGGTTTTCTTGAGTAGTCTTGAACTTATTTATAATATCTATGATTGTAGATTTTAGGACATTTGTTTGTTTAGCAATCAAGCATTATGAAGTCGATAGATTTTTGCAAAAAAAAAAATTATAACTTATTTATGCACATCAATTTGTTTCCGAAACATTTTGCAAATCATTGATTTTTAAACAAAAGTTTATCAACATAGTTAAAGATAAGAAAGTAATAAGTAATAAAAAAAAATAAAAAGCATTTTTGGTTTTAGAGAAATTTCAATTTAAAGTCGAGCAGATTTTTCCGTGTCCACCCGATATACTAATTTTATGAACTCTGAATTAGATTCCTGATATCTATTTATATTCCTAGTATTGTGTTTACATTCTTTCTTTTGTGTCTAATGTTTATATTTTTTATCACTTTTATTAAAGTTTTCTTTTAAAGTTTAAACTTTAAACTTTATAATAAAGTTCCCTTTTTTTAAAAAAGTTAGTTATCTGGAGTTCCAGACTAATGAAACCAGTTCATACTATTCCAACAGTTGGAGGGTTTCTTTATTCATTATCTTCAACACCTCTCGATCCTCATTCAATAGCTTTTGGTTGTGGAGACAATATGATAAGAGTATGGAATACAGCTGATTCAACTCAAAGTTATAAATGTACTACTTTGTGGCAGGGCATAAAAACCAAAGTATTGATTATAAAATATCATCCCAGCAAGGAAGGTATTTTAGCATTTGGAACTGAAGATGGTCATGTTGGTTGCTATAATGTTTTGTCTAAAAAGTATGATATAGCTACATCATATCATCAAAAGTCTGTCTATTGTCTTGCTTGGGGACCAAACTGTATTTCAATAGGTTCAACTTTGCTTTATTTTTTATTTACTTTTTTAAAGGTTTTAAAATGAAAGAAAAAAAATGAAAAAAAAGACTATTAAAATTGATTTTTCATTTCAGACGAACGAATTAACTCACTGTATACTATAGGAGGAGAAGGAACTATACTCATGCATAAAATGGGTTCTTTTAACATAGAAGCTATCAATATCTCCACACTTATAAAAACGGAAAATAAACTTGTGTCTGTACCACGAAGAAGTGAAGCATCGTGGCGTAGTGACTTTCTATTTATTGCAATAGGGAATGAAGATGGGACAATAGATATCTTATCAACAAAAATGCATTGTGTCTGTAAAGTTCTTGTTCATAAAAAGATGATAAATACTTTAGCCTGGCATCATTCTTACAGTTTGGATATTTCAGGTAAAAAATATTGTTTTTAATTTTTAATTCAATATATATTTTAATATTTTTATAACAAAAAGGGTCTAATAGTACTAAATTTTGAGTCGTATTTTGTAACTATGATGTATTTAATTATTTTAAATCTTTTACCCATGTCCATTAAAAATATTTAATCCTTGAAACCTTGTGGCTTACTAAAAACATATTTAGAAAAATAATACATATTTTTACTAGTTATCTTTTAACTGAATTTTGTATTTGATGTAAAAACTTTTTTTTTAATGTTTTATGATAGCAACTTAAATACTATAAATATTTTATTAATTAAAATCTTGATTCATCCTTTAAAATTAAATATCTAAAATATCAGGTTTGAATGAAAAATGCAGATCGCTGGATATAAACTTAAGTGCAGAAGTATACTCTCTACACTTGCTTGTGAGATAGGTATATAAGTGACTATTTTGTGCGCTTCTTGTATTTTTTTTGGGTATTCTTAAATTCCCTCAATAGCTGAATTCACTTTTAAATTTGTCTAAAAATTTGTTATAATATTTTTATCAAAATTATTTTGATCACACTTTTTCTTTTTTCTTTTTTATCTTCATAAAAAAAAAAAAAAGCTCTTTTTCAAACTCATTCTCTACTCCATTGGAATTAGATTCACTAAAAAGAAAGAAGTACTGTAGATGGCACAGCATTATATATATATTTTTCTTGACTTTCTATTATATTCTTGACATCTCTTTTTTAAATTTTTTCTGCTATTGTTTTCAGACCTTGTTTAGCTTGTATTATTTTGTTTTCTTCTGATAGTATTTTTGTTTCTGATCCTAGTCAGTGCTCAGTTTCTCCACATTTACCCTTAGGTGCTTCTGATCACAGTTTGATCTCTTTAAAACTATTATCTCATTCTTCATTATCTAAATCCCCCTATCATCGTACCTCTTACAACTATCTTAAAGCTGACTGGGACTCTTTCCATGATTTTCTTTGTGATGGCCCTTGGGTAGAAATATTTGTCTTCCTGCTGATAAATGTGCTTCTTACATAACTTCGTGAAAAACTTCCTCTTGACGATTCCTGGTCAAGCCTTACTCTTCTCCATAGTTTTCCTCACATTGTGCTGCTGCAATTTTCATTTGAAACTGTTACTTCCATATCTCACCCCCAGCCAGAACTCATGATAACTGCATATAGCTGACCCAGAGAAATGGCTGGGTGCATATGAAAGCCCTTGATGTCTGTATTTCAAAAATATAAAATTTGAAATCCAACTATTTCGTCTCGGAAAATAAAATGAGTTTTTATTTTTATTATATTACAGCAACTAGACAAATGACACCATAACTATTTTTTGCATTTTTACAGTATACAAAAAAATTTAAGTGAGTGATAGTTTTATTATTACATGACTAAAACATTGTTTTTTTGTTTTTATGACTTTGCAAAAAGAGCATACCTGTATTTCTTACATAAAATGATTTTTTGTTGTTATTGGTGTTAAAATTACAGGAAAGGGCTATTCTCAATACATCAAAACAAAGAGCCACTCATTTTTACGATTTTGGAATCATTAGGTCTTTCAAAATGCCCAATCAAACTAAAACTCACAAAGATTGCCGGAAAACTGTGTTTTTTGTGCTTGAAAAAAAGTACAAGGACATTTTCACCATCAATGGTACAGGAAATTTCAAGCTTGTTTGAACAAAAGGTCAACTTTGAAAATGAACGAACGCCAATTAGGATTTGTGAAGGATGTCGTTCAACACTGCGCAGAAAACTTGATAGAAAAGAGGTTGTCATGCCAAGGCTCTATGACTTTGAAACCATTAATGTCAGGCGACCTGCAAGCGGACTGATCTGTGATTGCATTATATGTCAAGTTGGGCATCTAAAGCTAAATGAATCCCATCCTCTTGAAAAAGTTAGAAAAATGACAACATGTGAAAAGAAAGCTGTGAATAAAAATTCAACCTCTGACCACAGATGTTCCAAATGCCTCGGTTCTGGGGAAACGAATTTCTCATGTATGCACTGAAGCTAAGTTTCGTGAAAATATGAGACTTTTGGCATCAAATGACAGCACAGTTGCTCAACAAATTGCAGCCTCTGCAATTTGTTGAGCAAATGTCTGTCATTTGATGTCAACTGATTGTTGAGCAATTATACTACAATAAAGTCATTTTTACCTGTCACCCCAGGTAAAAATGACTTAATTGTAGTATAATTAAATGTGTTTTCAATTTTATTAGTTCTCAATGCCAAAAATGCGGTCAATTCTTGAGAAAAGTCAATTCTTGAGAAAAGTCAATTCTTGAGAAAAGTCAATTACTTTAATTGTGACAACTTATAAAATTTAAATAAAATTGCCAAAATATTAACTTATAGGTGTAATTGCCAAAATATTTACTTCAAGTGCAAGAAGACTCTTTGGATCAAAATCCTTAGTTACTGCAGGGGATCTTGTTCAAGTGCAAATCAATACTGGATTGTCAAACACAAACGTGAAATTTTTTGATCAAACAGGTATTCTACCTGAACAAGGCAATGGAGTTATTGGCAAGAAACTTGTAGTTCACTGTAAAGATCTGCAAGAACTGATAAATGAAGTTCTTTTATCACAAAAAGTCTTCACTAAGCCACTAATCAAACTTGGCATTGATTTGGTGGTGGGTTTCTGAAAGTCACACTGGGAGCTATTGAGAAAATGCCATGTGAAGATGATCCTCCTCCATGTAAGAAAAACTTGACTACAAACTTTTCCAAAGATAGTGGCTGCAATCATCAGCTTATCATTGCAATTGCTGAAGATTTATCTGAAACCTATTTGAATGTCCAAAATGTTCTCTCTCTCATCAAGCTTAACCCTAAGGATTTTGTTGTTTCTTGCGATCTGAAGCTGGCCAACATCCTCTGTGGACTTTAGTCTCACTCATCATCGCATCCTTGCACGTGGTGGATGTCCCATCAAATAACCTTGCACAATCTGGAAATCTTCTCTTCAAGATCTCGAAGTCAATGTGGCCGCATGCTGAAAAGTGGCTAGATGCTCTTCACATAAAACAACAACCTTTCCACGGAGGACAATTTGCTGGAAATGATTGTCACAAGCTTCTGAAGAACCTGGATTTGTTGCAAAATCTTGCAGAGAAAATGTCCTTAATTTATATTTGTCCCATTATCAACACTTTCCGGAAATTTAAAGCTGTGGTTAGTGCTTGCTTTGGGTCCACATTATCTTCTGATTTCTCTAAAAAAATTGACTTATTCAGAGAAGCATATATGGCAATGCCATCTCGAAGCGTGACTCCAAAAGTGCATGCAGTATTTTTTCATGAGAAGAACTTCATCTAAAAGAAAAACACCGCTTTGGGAATCTTTAGTAAACAAACGACAGAAGCTATGGGCCATCACTTATATCAACACTGGCAAAGATACAAGAGACCATCAACCCATCCAGAAAATGGAAGGCAACTTCAAACATGCATAGTTGACTTTAACAGCAAGCATCTTTAAAGGCAATTTTGAAACAGGAGCAGAAGACTTATTTCAAGAATTAAAAAAGTTTTGCATTTTTTTTTTGTTACATTCTTTTTGTTAGAATGTATTATTGATTATTTTTATCAAACCAGTGCTGTAAAATGAATGAATACATAAGACATAAAATTATCACTAACTCAAATTTTTTGATGCTGTAAAAATGCAAAAAATGGGTATGCTGTCATTTGTCTAGTTGCTGAAATATAATAAAAATAAAAACTCAATTTATTTTCCGAGACGAAATAGTTGGATTTCAAATTTTTTATTTTTGAAATCCTGACATTAAGGGCTTTCATATGCACCCAGTCATTTCTCTGGGTCAGCTATATACAGTTATCATGAATTCTGGCTTGGGGTGATCTATCAGCAAAAAAATTCTCCAGAAAACAGACGTCTGTTTATTATTGCTAGAAACAATTGTAAAAAGGTTTTGTCTAACGCCAAAGCCTGCAATTCTCAGGTCATGAAATCTCGTACTTCATCACAAAAATTAGGCTCTCATGACTTCTGGAGAATCTTTAACAGTATCAATAATAAGGGCAATTTTGTTATTCCACCTCTCTTGTATGGTTCAGACTTTTTCACCTCACCTAAAGACAAAGCTTAGTTGTTTGCTAAGAGCTTTTCATCAATATCATCTCTTGATTCCACTAGTTGTGTTCTACCTGATTTAGCTGTCAAGCGGTTGAACCATTGCTTGACATTCGTATCACTCCAGCTTCTGTATCTAAATTGATTTCCTGCTTGAAAGCGGCATCTGTTATCCCTATTTTCAAAAATTCTGAAAAGGAATCTGATTCCTCTAACTACCGTCCCATTATTCTTCTTCCTATCATAAGCAAAGTTTTTGAATCTTTAATTAACAAACAATCTCTCATCTTGAATCTAATAACTTACTTTCTGATCATCAATATGGATTTCGATCTTCTTGTTCTACAGCTGGTTTGCTAACAGTAATAACCGATAGGTTTCATTTTGCATTAGACAGGGGTGGAGAGGTTAAGGCTATTGCTCTTGACATTACTAAAGCTTTTGATAAAGTTTGGCATGCTTGTCTTCCATAAGCTTTCTTCTTACTGTGTATCTGGTAACATCTTTGAGATTATTGAATCCTTCTTTTCTAATCGTAGTATAAAAGTTGTCCTCAAGGTTCAATCTTTGGGGACAACTTTTATAGGAGGGATTGCTCAAGATTCAATCCTTCGCCCTATACTCTTTAATTTACATTAACGATTTTCCAGATATTTTTTTCAGCCAATCATCACAATAATTTAGATTTTCCTATATTTATTTTATTTTTCCTATTATTATTTATGAACGGTAATTTACTTGATGAGTCATCTACACTTCATCTTCTAAGATTAACTCTTACTTCCGATCTTTCTTGGAAACCGTATATCAAATCTGTTGCAAAGTCAGCATCTGCTAAGGTTGTATCTCTTTATCAAGCTCAACACTTTCTTACTCCGGATTCT